TACACACACACCTTCTAGCCACTGATCATTGCCTGCACCCATTATGATACTATGAAATGGTGCAGCCACGCACCTGTCCGCAAGTCATTGCTTTCCTTAAAAAAACCTTTGTCCCTTTGCCCTATCCCCGAATATGGGGTTTAAAACTCACTTCATTCACTGTTACTTCCACTGGAGGAATCCCTGCTGCTGTCTTCTGGTCCAGTAGTCTTGATGCCCCCTCCCTATCACTGTCCATTTTCCCATGGGGGGGAAGGGGGAAGTGTCTTGAAAAATCCCATGCCAAGTGCCCTTCAGCCAGGTAGATTTGGCTGCAACCTCCCTGTCCTCTGGTACTGATCTCTTGTAGTAGGACTGGAGTTTGCTGAAGGCCATTTTAACACAGTCAGCCATCTTGAGGTTTGTGTGTCTGTACATCAGGAAGATCCTGGATTTCCACAGGACACTCCTACAGCACAACATAAACTGACTGAACCAGGCCAACAGGCTTTATGGTATTTCCCCTGCTAGGTAAGTATGCCTGGGCTCAGTATTAGCAAGCATATGATAACTATTTTTCAATGTTGACCCAGTTCTCATTCACTTACTGCTCTGTTAGCATGAGCAATATAAAGCAAATAAAAAGAAGGCTTATTTGCATGCTTATTTGCACACTGGGAGATATACAAACAAGCATGCAAATAAATCCTCTTCTATTTACTTTACAGGCAGTCCTTGGACTTACGACACAATTGGTTCCTGAAAACCAGATCTTAAGTCAAAACATTGTGACTCAGGACTGATTTTCCCATAGGAAACAATGTTATAAATGGGGAAATGGTTCCTGAACCAAGGCCTGATACCCTGATACCCTATTTCCACCAAAAACAACCACAATCAATTATAGATGAGTAATATAGCTATATAATGTATTTATATTGTAAATAGCAATCATATTGATTTGGAAGGACTTACTTGAGGTGATTTTGCTGGACTTTTTGAGGGGTCTTGGTTGGACTTTTTAAAGTGTTCTTGGCTGGAGTCTTCTCAGGAGTCCTGTCTGCAGGTTTTTCTGGAGTCTTGTCTGCTTTCTTAAAGAAAGTGTCCAAGGAAATTTGGACAGATGTTCTCCAAGAAGATGGGCGATACAGTGAACTTGTTTGCTCGCATGGTGTGGTGTGGCGTGGTGTGGCGTTGGATCAAACATAAAGTTGAAACTGACATCAGAAAGTCAAGACGGTGTCAATTTAGAAATGTTGTAAGTGCCATTCGTTGTAACTCGAAACATTGTAAGTCAAGGACTGCCCATATATTGCTCACTGTAACTCACCAGCGAGTAAGTGAGAACTGGGTCTCATACCCCTGCAGCACCAGTACCTGGAAGAGAAGAGGGTCTTTCTCCTATTGTAGCCTAACTCCCCCATCATCTTCTCTTGTTGGTTCAGATCATGTGTAGTCTTATGCTTGTCTGGCAAGAGAAACACTGTGACTACTGAGGCAGTCTTCCTAGTTGGTCCTGGAGAAGACTACCCTCCTGGCATGGGGATAGTACCTGCTAAGGTAATGTACAGTGAACCTCCTACTTAGCTGCTGGAGTGGGAAAGCCTTGATTTTATACCCACTTTCTGAAAATGGGAGACTCCTCACTCGCTTGCCCCTAGGGCCTTATGGCTGAAGGCAAGCAAAACTCAGGTTCATTCAAACCCCAAGTCTCTGGGCCTGGGCCTGCAAGTAGGATGTCTGCCAAAGGTTTTGGAAACATCTGAAGCCCCAGATGGAGGATGTTTGCCAGTAGTAGGGCCACTAATGGTTTTAGACTGACTCTCAGATTTGGAATTTGTTTTGGCTAATGTGGCTTGGAATATGGAAAATTAAAAAAGAAAAAAAAGGTCCCTGATCATCTTCTTGTCCAGGGCCCTAAAAAGTCTTAATCTGTTTCTGTGTTTAATTAACTACAACATCAATTTGGATCTGTCCCATGTCTGTTCCTGTTCATCTGTACTTAAATAGAGAAGGTACTTTGCAAATGGATTCCTAGCCCGTTACCTGGACTAGATTTTTATACCTCTATGTCCATCAGTGGGTTAACTACTTTGTCCTCTTGGATCCTTTCAACTTACCTTTTCCTCTCTTAGCAGCATCCCTTCCTTTTTCTCCCTCTTTCTCTATCCTTTGTATTTAAATAACCTAATTCCTTTCTATTTATTACCCCTAACCCATTCATAGCATCTGACAAAGCACACTGCAGCCTCTGAAATCTCCTGCCTCTCTGAAAGAGTCAGTCTATAAGGTGCTACACTTCACTGCCTTATGGTGGGATGGTAACCGATTTAAGCACAACACTTCCCACACTTTACAGCCACTTTATGGCTTTGTCACTTTTCTCCATCTAACCAAATCTAAGGAGGGAAGGCTGCGTGGAGTAGATTGGAAAGAGGTCTGACTTAAATTATACTTGTTTTCTGCCATACCTTTAATCACTGCCCAAGTAACAAAAGCCTTTGAGAACGCTTCTGATTGCAAAAAAGAAAAGCAGAACTCCTCCATTGTGATGATAAAACAAGGAGCTGCTCTTGGGTGCAAGGATGTATTTCTGTGTCTCATCTCAGAGTGATTATGCTTAGGTAGTGAATGTGAATAATTTTTTGGGTTTCTTTGTGATTACCTGTATGCATGTGGTTTGTGCATGGTAGATGTGACAGTATGCTCCATGACTCTGATTTTAAGGTTTTCTCTCTGTGCGTGGTATCAATCTTTAAAGTGCTTTCTTTAATAGAGAAGGAATATTTAAACAGCTTAAAGAATCACCAGACAACTTCCAGTCCTCTCATGTTATAGGCGAACGCCTCATTTGCATGTTAATCTAATTAGTTTTCTGCTGGTGAGAAGAGTTTTGCTGTGGCCATGATCACTCACTGCAGGAGGTTTTGCTTCAGGTTTTTGATAAATGAGATCACATGAGGGAAAGGTGTGCAAACAAATAAAAACAAATGAACAAACAAAGATTGATCTGATCCTGTCTTAATAAAAATCACAAAGCACTTCCCTTCTTGACAGCTAAGAACTTTCCTATATAAATACTTCCTAAAATTATAAGCAGATGTAAGTGCAATAATCACTTTTCATTTTCCTAACCAAGGCTGTATAAGGGGGCTAAATGGCAAATACTATTACCAAGGAAAACTGATTCAGATTGTCAATAAAGTTTCATTTCCCTGTGATTCCCCCCTACTCAAAGGCTTGGAGAAGGAAAACTATTTATTTAAGGACCCCAAAAATGTAGAGTCCAGTTTTTATAGTTATTCTGCTCAGTTGTTTCCAAGAAATGAAAACAATTTCAAATCTATTCATATTAAAAATGAGTATTAGAGCCAATAAACTCTTTGGATATAGGGAAAATAAAGAGATTTACACAAAACAGCATCCAAGACCTGAGGTTTTTGTAGCTTTATTTCTCTATAATGAGAAGCTCCTTCTGTAAATCGTAAATTGAGCCATGCTGGCAGCAAGATTGCCCCCATCCCAATCTTTTTAAATGACATTGTTTTAGGTAAAGTGACTCCTGGAGATAGCTCCTTATCTCCTTAAAAAAGACCTAGCTCCTGTTCTGCAACCAGGCAAGAAAGCTCAAGGAAGTGCAAAAAGAAATGATGCTGGCTCAGGGGGCTCCCCCCTTCCCTTTCCCCTTCCTTGCCTTAGCAACTTCCTCTCATACAACTGCTAATTTAACAGTGAGAAGGGAAATGAAGTTTCATTAATTCCCTCCTCTTGAGTCTCTCCAGGTAAAGAGAGTAAAGTGAAAAGTATCAATTCTAGTGCAGATGAGCAGCCCCGTGGAGGGAAAAGAACCCCATGAAAATTCATTTACTGAACATCTCAACTCTCAGAAAGTTTTATTGCTTTTACTGTATAGGAACTTTCAAGAAATGCTGCCCCCCACCACAACTGCAGCAGTCTTTCTTCCCCTCCCTTCCCCTACACACTCATCTAGGAGAGACAAGGGAGAGAGTAAGTAGTCCATTGTTCCACAAGCATGCCCTAGTGCATGATAGACGTGACAGTATGCTCCATGACTCTGATTTTAAGGTGAATCTTAGTGAATCTTTTTCAGAAAAAAGGAAAAAGGTAACAGCTGTGTTTAACTAACTAATTTTGTCCCCCCTGTATTTTACTGCCTATTGCATAGATCTAGTTGTTTGTGCTGCTGTGGTCCTGAGCCATGCCATGTTCTGCAATCCTTTGTCATACTTGTAACAGATGGATGTACTCTATGCTGTGAAATTTAGGGAGCTGGGTGCAAAAAGTAACCACGATCCATGTTCTTGTATCCAGCTCTGTGTGGCATTGTGGCACAGAGGTTGCTATACTTTTTGGCACACTGTTACCGATGGGGTATGTTGTTTATTTAGACAGAGGAGTTAAGATGCTTGAGCACAAAAATTGGCAGGACACGGGAGGTTTTGTGTCCCAGATTTATATTTTTGCAGATCCGCCTTGCCAAGGCATTGCATATTTAGGAATTTTTGGTGCACTAGTAGGGGCTGGCCATTTCCTATTTTAGGTAGCAGGATTTGTGGGGAAGGGAGGCTTGTGTACAAAGACTGGCAGGATCAAGCAGGATTTGTACCTTTCTCTCAAGACCCAGTTTTTAGGCACAGCCCAGATAATACCCTAATGAGTAGGGGTGTATGCCTAAAGTATGCTGACTCTTTCAAACCTAAGGATGTTTCTATGCCTAAGAGGTGTTCTGATTGCTCCCGGGAGCTTGAACAGACACAAAAAACACAGCCTCCTATGCTACAAAACACAGGGGCTCCATCTCCTGTCTCCTAGCCTAAGAGGGAAGAAAGAGCCGCAATTGGAGAGGTGGGTGTAGGGTAGAGGGGGTGGGGGAGAAGAGAGTCAGTTTCACTCTTTGTCACTCCTCTGAATTGGGGGCGGAGGAAAGAGAAATCCATTGTGGAAAGCTATAAAAAGTAAAGGGGGCAGAGAGAGACCAGAGCAGGCAAGAGACTGTCAGAGAGCAGTGTGTGTATGTGTGTGCGAGGGGGTGTGCAGATCTGTGCTAAAGAACACTGCGAGTTTGCCTAGCTGTCTGTCTGTCTGTTCCTGCCTGTGTGATCCTGACTCCAGATATAGAGCCGAACGCCTGGAGCCCCTCACCCCAGCACCAACTAGTTTGGAGGAGGAGAAGGCGAACGTGTTCTCTCACAAACACTGGCTACAGAGGCTGAGGCTTAAGAAAGAAAAAAGAAGGAGGGGAATAAAAAGTAGAGAGAGAGAGAGAGAAACACAACTAAGCCCAGCCCTTGTCGGTGCTGCCTGGATTGGATCTGGTTTGAGTTTTCTCCCTGCTGACTTGTGTAGCAAGAGAGGAGCGGAGGGAAATAAGTAACTGACTCTTCCTCTGAAGCTTAAGCAAACCTGCTGGGTGATTCCACTAGTGGGAAGCTTCCCTGGGTGCAGTTGCCTCATAGTTTATTGCTCCCAGTCACTAAAGAATTTCCTGCACTTCTCAAGAATCTGAAGGAAAAAGCCATCACTTCACATGATCTGATAGTTGCTTGTTGCCTAGAAACTTTATACCATTTTTTCAGGGGATTCGTTTTTCCTGGTCTCTCCCACCACAGCAGTTTCTTGAGCGTGCGGCATTGAAATCTATTCAATTGTTTTGTTAACAACTGTAGGATAAACATTTTTTCCCCCTTTTTTATCTCTTGTTGCTTTATTTTGTTTGATTTTTTTTTTATTTTAAAAAATCCCTTTTTGGGGTGGGGGGAGATGATCGTGCTGATGTGGAATAAGTGCTCCTGCTGTCTCCTCTTACTAGCCGCGGTCCTGATGGTGGAGAGCTCCCAGCTAGACAGCTCCAGCTCTAAGGTGAACTCCATCAAATCCACCCTGATGGGGGAGGCTCCAACACAGGCAACCAACAGATCTGCAGGCATCCACCGGGGACTGACACTTGGTAGCAGTAAGAAAGGCAAAATCCTAGAGCAGATGGGAAAACCTCCAAAGCGCTATCACCGGCAAGGAGAGGTAGGACGCAATTCACATACATATATCTGTCTGTCTGTCTATCACATCTGCTTCCCTTTGGTCTAATGTTCATCTTTACTGTATAAAAAAAGTGAGACTTCTGAACTCTCTTCTTTATAGAGTTTTTCTTTCAAAATGAAATTAATTCACTTCATTGGAAGTTCTCTGAGACTGCATGTTATTTCCAAAGGAATAGGTAAAGAAATCAAGTTTGAACCTTTTGTTTCTCTTAAAGGTATCCAAAATTGACTAAGGAATGCAGTAATTGTTGGTCATTATTATTTTGAGCATTTCTTTGCTGGAACCTATCAGAAAGACTGTTAGAAATAAAGCAACAAATAATAATAAGCCATAAAGGATTATGTTGCTGGCTCTTTGTTTGGCACAGTGAGTAAAGTGTGTTGGATTAGACGATGCAAATCAGACACGAAGTGGAAATATTTTTGTTAATATGACAATGAAGAAAAATCCCTCATAAAAACACAGCTGAAATAATCTTGGGTGAAAGTGTAAGAACAAGGATTAGAAGGTTTGCTATACACCAATACTTTAGTAAAATGCTTAGGCATAATTATCTGGCATCCAAAAGACAGTTCCCACACTGTAGTCTGGGGCAGTCCAGAATGGTACTTTTCTCTGGTTATATTCAGGTTGGGGACTGGGGAAGAGAAAAACATCCTTAGAAACTGCTGGGGACTGGAATTTGAATACAAAGGGGAAAAGGGTTACGGAAATATGGAAGCCTGATTTGGTTGTAAATTCATCTTTCTCTCTCCTCCCCTCTGCTTGGATACTCAGAAGTCCAACAAAACCAGATCTGTTTTCATTTCTCCTGTGTGATAAACTATAAGGTGATAGTGTAAGTTATCAGCCCTCTTTCAGCCCCTTCAGATCTCAAGAGGTACAAATGCTGTACAGCAGAGTGATGGTAAAAGTGGAAGAGCTAGAGTATGCCTTACTTTGCTATGGAATATATTGATGTTCATGCTGTGAGACACTATTAGCAATTCCAAATACAGCTGCTTTTCATAATGAATAGACAGAGCTGTGGCAAGGGAGCAACATTCAGCACTGAAAAGGCTGAATGCCTGAAATGTCTCTGTCCTTTACATGTTTCCCTTGAAAGCAAGAGTGAAGGCACAAATGCAAGCAATTAGTTGAATTCATTATTTCAGATTGTCTTTCAAATAATTAGGTGTTGCTATTTGTTGAGTGTATACAAAATGATCAGTGTGCTTGGTTTTTTTAGCTACATTTGTTTATTTGTGGCTCCTTTCTTTATCCCCTCCTTGCCTTTATATTTCATGCAGAATTTGGTGGCTTTTCTTACCTCCAAGCAAAAGTTTAGTAACTGATGCCATAGAGAAGGTCGCAGTTATTAAAATTATTTCACTCTTATCTACTTTGAATTTATCAGGAAATAAGAGAATATGAGAATAATTCCTAAACAGAATTGCTATGGTGAAAATAAAGGACCATCATACACTTTACGATGTACCTTCCTTTTTTCACTATTAATATTCTGCCACCTGCACTCCCACTGAATACTATCCTACTCTTTGAGCAGTCCCATTACTTTCAGTGTGACTCTGTGGAATAATAAACTATACAGTGGGAGTAAAAAAGAGGGAGTCTTGCCTTTGGGCTAACTCTCATGTGCATCTTCATCAACCATGTTTATAGTGATAAAGGCAACTATAAAACAACTGGTCCCAGTGAAATCAATGGGACTGCACACATGAGTAGGAGTAGCAAGACTAGACCATAACTTGCTAATCTGAATTATGCATTCATTCACAATGGATCTCTCTTATTTTTGGCATGAATTAGAAAACTTCTACTACAATGCTTACTCAGATATGCATTTATAATATCCATTAGAGTAAAGAAAATGCTACTTAGTTTACAGGCTTTTTTCTTAAAGAACATGTTCTGAAATCATATCACCTTGGCCAAAATCCACACATCTGTATGGAGTCTCAGTAAGTTCAGTGGGGCTACTTGTGTGAGAAAGCTGAATAAAATTTAACCCAGTGGTACCCATTTCTCCAATCTACTCAGGCAAAACTCCCATGAGAAGCCACAACATTTCTGCCCAAGTGAGGAATAAAGGACCAGATTGTGTGCTGGGGTAATGCATACATTTAGTTTCCCTCAGCGGGGTTTCCTGCACATTTGTGGCTTCACCACTTGGTGTAGCAGTGGATAGCTGTGATAATATCTGAGATTTACAACAAAAAATTCTTAGACATTCTTTCTTTCTTTCCAACTGAAGTCAGATAATTAAAGCAGTAAAAAATGAACCTTGCGATGGTAGCTCATTTTTGTTGGCATTTGTAGTTTCAGAACTAGTAAGGTGCTACATTTCCAAACAATGGTTTTGTATATCACAACCAATTATGACATGATATTTTAATAATTGTATTTAAATCAAGCCTTATTAGATTAGTACTGTTCCTTGATTTGTTTAGACTATAAGACAGTGTATAAGAAACACAGCATGTTGTTTCTTAAAAGAGCAGAGCTCCCTAGTTTTTTTCTCTCCAACATTTTCTGCCTTAATGAGATTTATATTGAGATAAAAATTGCAGCATCTATTATTTTCTTAGTATGATTAAACTTCATAACTTGTATATACATAGCTTTGCTATGGAAGTAGGGTATAAGATACAAAGCACAATTAATGAAGCTCTGCCTTTGGTATTATGACAGATATGGAGCGTGAGGTTAATTCTCTGCTGATGGACACTGGCAGATACCAGTTGCATAGAATTCTGTCAGTCTTCACCAGCATAGGAGTTTCCACCAGTCTCTACTAGTGATTTGATCCAGGGAACAATATCCGATAATTAGGGATAAGATGGGGGGAGAGAGGAGGGTTGTTGATTAGATCAATATGCTCCTGGAGTGTTTTATATGTGCATTTATTTAATGAAACATCAGGGTTGACTCCAAAGCCTTTCATCAGTTAAAGAAATGGCTGTAATAGCCCATGGTTTCTTTGGAATGTTGATACATTTTCACCAGTGGTTAATGCTTCATAATGCTTCTGCTTAGAAAGGAATGATCCAGTACATCTCTTTTTTTCGGGTAAAACTCTGATCAAAATTAGTGGGGATGTTCATATGAGCAAGGATTTGGCTTTATACAGGGACAATCAGGATAAAAGAAAATTTGAATACATTTAAAAAGTATGCCTATATAATAAGTATTATTTCTGTTCTATCCTTACTCACTTTAAAAATAGTCATACTTTTACTGCTTTGCAACAGTAGAGACGAGAGACCGCAGAGCCGCTAATAAGCTCTTCCTCCATCTCTGTCATTTGTCATGTTAACTCCACACAAATTATTTGTTGTTTACTCCCATCTCAAATATGTGTAAAATGTTCACAGCATTCCCACTAGAGAAAAACATATGCCAATAGGGTGGTCATGTGCTTGTCAGTAAGGACCTGATTCTGTTTTCCTTGATTATATAAAGAATCTTACAGCATGAAGGAAGGTAGCAGATTCAAATTTATTGCTGATCTTTGGGGGTCAATGAAATCAACTGAACTTCCTGCACATGTAAAGTGTTCAGGATCAGGATCAAAGAGCTTAGTGTTAGAATGCTCCATTTTTAAGAGATCTCCGATATGTCATCTACTTCCCTCACTTTCCTTTTCAATTCTGCTTCAGATGAGTCAATTCGTTGCACAGGTAACATTCTAATAGTTTTGGCATCCTTTAGAAATGATAGTGAATTTATAACCTTACAATGCATTAATTTGAGTGGTAGGTGAAGTATGCCTAATTAGAAGTACTGGCATTTGAATTTTCTCAACTGTGTATCAGGTAACGCTGGCAAAGCAACCTTTCCCGTGCTGTCTCACAGTGATCTGGGAGGTTCACTTTTAAAGGGCAAAAGTCCTCTTACCCTTGTTCGTGGCTGAAACCAATAAACTTGTCTTCTCCCGCTTCACCAAACTACCAAGTGTGGGCTTCTTTCTGGGTCCTAGTGATTCTTCATTCCCTCCCCTCCAGTTTCCACCTACACTAATTACATATTTGTCCTTCTATCTGGTTCAAATCCTTTGCTGTCTTGGATCCACCTCAAGCTACATTTTATGTCTCTTTACTAATCCATAGGTTTCAGTGGCCCTCATCCTTCCCCAACCCTGCTACAGAGCCCGTCTCTTGATTCTTCTTTCCTTCCACATGATCCTGTCCCTCTCCAAGCTGCCGCTTTTCCCACTGTTGCTGGCGCTTGGAATGGATGCTGAGTAGCTCTTAGCTGTTTCTCTGCTCCTAACTCCATCTCCCCCTTCCATGAGTGGGCCATGGGTGGGACATCCTTGTTGGTGAGGGTATGGATGGGGGCTCTAAGCAGTGAAAAAGTGACAAAAGACTGAGATGGGGTTAAAAGACTAGGGAAGAGAGCAAAGGAGCAATTGTTCAGGCAAAGAAGATACTAAGTTTGAAGATACTAAGTTTGGAAGGAGGGAGTTGAGTGAAAAGATAGGAGGAGTAATGAAAGTAGAAAAACAAGACTCGTCAAAACCACTTAAGCCTTTATGGGTCCAGAAGAATTTTGTTTATTTGATTAATTTACCTGTTTTTATTTTTAACTCTGAGCACTAAATCAAATTGGTGCCAGGAGCCTTGAGCCTGCTCAAAGCAAAACAAGAGAGTAAGTTTTACCTAGGCTAAATCAAAATGGCCATATTTGTCACAGTTCTAATACTCACCACTTCCACATGAGTGCTTTCTGTACAAACTACTCAGGACATACTCCTCAGGATAAATATGCTAGAAAATGCTAAAATGAGGTTTCATAGTAGCAGGCAAGTAAAGCAGCATGAGATTCAGTAATTGACCACAGTATCCTGAAAACAAAGCAATGAAAGGCACCACAGACACCAGAAATGTAACCACACTATCTTGAATAGCTAGCAACCAAGACAGTACCAATTATTTAACCACAAGATCAAGACTAATTTAACTATAGTACCCAAAAAT